GGGGGGAGGCGGGGGCGGCTGGCTGTGAGGTGCCCTAGCCATGAATCAAACCAAGGTCTCCCAAGTGGAAGGCGAGAATTCTATCACTGAAGCGCCCCTGTCCCCTCAAGATCAGGGAGCCCTGCTTAAGCCCCAGCTCCCAGCTAAAACCTGCTTCCTAACCCAGCAAGTGGGGCCAACAGGGATGCTGGTGCGGATTCCGGACCACAGGGTCCGTCCGCGGAGCCCTGGCACACAGGAAGGACAGTGCATTTGCTCGTGGAAGCGCTTACTGAGTTAGGGGGATGGACCCTGAGGCACTCTAAGCTCACCCTAAGCAGCTGGCACAGGTGGGGCACAGGGGCACCTGGTGTTGCCCGAAATCATTGTGGTTCTTCCTGATGCTACAGCCTGGCCCCAGAGGAGCCTGGGAGGAAAACTGGCCCAGTCTAACCCTTGGTGTATGCTGGTTTGGGATAGATGTCTCCCACCTCACCCCCACGCCACCAGCCCTGGGTTGCAGTCTGTGACTGTGCACATCAGGCCCCTGGCTCCCCTCCCCTGAGTTGAGCCTAAGGGGCTAGGTGGTATTCTGCCAACCGCCTTCAGGTGGTGGAATCCATGACCCAGGTTCCTCAAGCAGGAAAGCCCGAGACTCCTCGAAGAGAGAATACCGTTCTTTAAAAGTCACTGTTTTCTAATGCTAGAAGTGCCCTGAGCCTGTCTTGTCCAGGGAAGCCCAAACCCAGCTGATCATCATATGTACCCTGCCCGGAGCTCCTGCAGGGGTGGGGGAGTGGTGTGTGTGTGTGTACGCATATACATGCACAGTGTCTCTGTAAAGTTCTTAGGCTGTTCTAGAACCCGAGGTCTGTCCTGACTCCCTACTTTTAGGACAAGGTCAGATGGTGATTTCCCCAGGGCCACCTAGCCCACTAGTGACAGGGCCAGGACTGGAGAGCAGGCCTCCTTGCTCAACATAGGTCTGACTTTGGGCCCCATCACTTCGGCTAAGACAAGCCAGCTTCCCGTCCACTGGTCCCTGAGTCAGGAAGCACACCTGCCCTCTCCATCTTCTGGCGGTCAGGGATCCATACTCCTTCCAAGTTCATTTTGCTTCACAGTCAGTGGTTTCTGGCCTGACCTTGGGCCGAACAGGTCACCTATCTGGAGTTCTAACACAACTTTGCCTCTGCAATCCACATGGACCCAGCTGGCCTGGGTCAGGACTAGAGTCCACAGGCTGGTGGAGGAGGGTGGTGCCCACCAAGCCCCCTTGTTAGTGAGCTGTGTGCTGGTTGTGGGCTGGGCATGGTGCTGCAGATGCTCTGAGGGAGGGAGACAGCTGAGTGACAGGTATCAGTGAGGGCAACAGAGGAGCAGTGGTGAGCCTTGCATCACCTCCTCCTCCTCTGTGCCATCACACGTGGAACAGCATGTCTCCTTTAGCCACCTCTGTCCTGTTAGACGACCTGGGCTACCTGTGTGCCTCTACTGAGCACATACCCCAGTGTGCCCACACACACCTCTCCCCTGTTGGCTGACCCGTGGGGGGGTCAATGCTCTCTATCCTCCTGGCGCAGGCTCCTTCCTAGCCAAACCGACCCTTTTGTCCCAGCTCCCCAAGGCAGCTGTGCAAACTGGTTTGATCCCCCGTGCGAAGGCACCTCTCCGCAGCCTCTCCCAACTTGATTTCACCCTCACACTTGCCCTGGGCCTCCCTCGTGGTGGCAGGAAGCCTGGTTTTTGCCTGTCCCGTGAGCCCCTGGTGTGTGGTGCGCCACGTCTCAGCCTGTACGGATGAGGGCAGCCCTCCGCTGGTGCAGACACCCAACACCGCTGCACACAACAGAACTGCTGAACGAGGTCACGGCCTCTGCAGATGTCAGAAACCTTTGCCACTGTTGTTCGGAGCCTGCGGATGGCCTTTGTTTGCCAGTTACTCCCGAGGGTCCCAGTGACTCAATACACTGCTGTGTCCAGTCATCTGAACACATCGGAGGCAGAAAACCCACTCATGGTGCCGAGCGCCGTAGAACTTCACCACTGCCGGTTATTGCACAGCTACTGCGCTCAGACTCCGAGACCCATGGAGAGCCCATGTGGAGGATAGAGGGAAGCCATCAGACTTGCTGCTGAGCTAATTTATTGGGCAGGGGGGCGGGTACACACTCATGTTTGCTTCTTCCTAAGAACAGGCCCTGGCTCATTCCTTTACATAAAGGCACGTGTTGGAAGGACGATGTTTCCAGTCTGAGCCTCTCGGTGCCCGGGTGCCTGTGAGCAGATCTGTGCCCAGAAGGGAGGACAGGAAATGTCCCCAGCAAACCAGAAGCAGAACTCAGCACAAAGGCCCCAGCCACAAGCTGCTGACCTCGCACTACACCAGCTGGGCTTTTGCTTGCAGGGACCAGGGGCCCCCTGAGTGCATGTCTTTGGGACGTGCCTGGTCCATGAAAACGCCCTTGTGCTGTGGAATATTCATTTCATCTCCCCGGCGCCCATCTTCCTTGTGTGCACCGCCCTTGCCGGGAGCCTCCCACCCACATCCCAGGAGCTGCCCCGTGTGCACGAGGCTTCTGGTTGGTCAGGCCTCATTTCACACCCAAGGGTCTGGAAGCCCAGAAAGGGAGGCATCTTTCATCTGGTTAGCAGCCCGGGCATTTCAGAATAGACTCAGAACCGGGTTGGGGAAGACTCCTAGGGCCAGGGGACAGTCACGTGACCACTCTGCTCCAAAGTGGATTACATTGAATTGGGTAGAGAAGAGACATATCCACAGAAACTCGTGTGTGTGTGTGTGTGTGTGTGTGTGTGTGTGTGTGTGTGTGTGTGTCGGTCTGTCTGTCTCTCTTTCACCCACTCTGTATTTCAAGAACAGGAAGCCTTTAGAGTTGGTTTCTGGTTAGCCTCAGAGAGCAAGCGCGTTGCGTGATCTCCATAGACATCCTTTGAGGGCTGTTCTCTGTCCACAATGCTAGCCAAGCCACGGTACAATGTATAACTCTTTAGAGTTAGTTATTTTGGGAAATCCAGAAAAAGAAGAGGGGGGAAAAACGGACTTGGAAAAGGTGGTTCAGTTTCGCTCTGATTGAAATAGCAAAATGAAGGGAACCGGCTCGCAGGAATCCCCAGCAGTGGCATTTTTGTGCAGTGAGTGAGCGGAAGTACAGAGCAGGCCTCGTGCTTTAAGAGCACACGGCCACGAACAGGACCACACCCACCAGGGGGTCTGTGCGCAGCGGCGAGAGTTGCAGTTTGCAGAAGGAACAACTGGAAGCCAGAAGGAAAAGGCGAGGTCAGTATTTGAGGGAGTTCACGATGGTTCTGCAGAAACTGGTTTTGTCTTCAGAGCATAGTCTCCTCCTAGATCCGTGTGGGGTACAGAGCCTGGCTCGAGCTGGGTTCCTCCTGTGGGTGCTGTGGCCTTTTTGCAGTTAACCAGCTGGATTCTGGCTAAGGTGTGTGAGAGCCACTCTGGAAAGGGTCATGAGTATATCACCCTTGAATGCCTAGTCCTCTGTGGGTTTTTAAAAATAGCTCTGCTGGCAGTCCTAAGCTGCTTGAGCCCATAAATGGAAGTCTTGTCTCGTTGAAGGTCGACCTCACATGTCTGGGTGGGCCCCCTAAGTCCCCCTTGAAGACTGCTGAGCATCAGCCACCACTGTCAGCACTAACTTTGCTCTGCACAGAAGAGCAAACTCCTGCACAGCCTGGTGAATCAGTGCCCGCCCCCCTCCCCACCCCACTGCCTCTCACAGGCTTGCATTCTCACCATAGGTCCACCATTCAGTTCTCTGAGTCGGTGATGTCATCATAAAATGGGCTGGTCCCCCACTTGAAATGTTCCCTGCCGGTTTCCAGCTGGACCTACAAAGACAGGTCCCCGTGCACGTTGTGTGATGCTTGCAAATGGGTGCTGCTGCCTACTGCCCCCCAGGCACTGGCTGGGATTGCCCTGTCTAGGGTCCTATAAACATGTGGTGCTCGGCACAGTGAGACATGTGTGTCCGTGTGTGTGTGTGTGTGTGTGTACACACATGCATGCATGCATGTGGACTGTATATGTATCTGTCTATGTTGAAACAATGGGCCGGGGACTTCTTTTCTATTCACCAGCCCAGAGAAAAACTGCCATTTTGATTCCTTCGATTCACCCCAGTTGTTGCCTATGGGGCTTTCCCAATCATCCCCAGGGATGGCTGCACAGACCAAACTGAGAGGGCTCCAAAGCCTCCAGGAATCGGTGAATTAAACTTGTGAGTTAAACACGTAGGACCCAAGTTCCCCATATTGCCCTTCAACCTGTCTCCAAAGCGTACTGCTACCAGGTCTGTTCCTCTTGGACTCAACAACCCCGAAGGGTGGCGTCCCACTGCCACACAGGAGTTCCACACTTGTCATGGATAGAAGCAGACCGCCACATCATTCTTCCTCCTCCTGGGTTGGAACTGCAGCCCTCTCATTAGGCAGCTGAGCGCTTTAACTGTTGTGCCACCAGGGGCCTTGTTCCTGGCTTGTCCCCAGCTACAGTCAGGTGCTTAATCCCTCCCCCACCCCCCCTCACCCATGGGAAGCCATTCGTTCTGCGGGGACAGGATGAGCGGTAGAAGACTAGTGCCGACTTCACCACACCTGACTGGCTGCGTGGCCTTGAAGAAACCATGTGAGGTCCCTTCCAGGTCCAATGCTCCATGATTCTATGACTGAGAAGTTACCTTGTCACTTGATAGGCTTTGCAAAGGCGGAGATCACGCGTGGAGATTGGCCCTGGGATATGGTCTTCGGGCAGGAGGGGGTAGCTCCACAGAGACAGCGCAGCAGGCAGGAGACCCTCCCAGAATGGGCCACTGGGACTTCCTGCAAGTGGACGCTGAGGCTGAGAACTGCCATCAGCAGGGGCAGGTCACCCGAAGGTCATGATTCAGGTCATGCTGGGCGGGTAGAGAGGGGACAAGGTTGGCACCTAGCATGACATTTGCCCATCAGAGGTGCCTGGGCAATGGTGGCCTGTTTGTCCGAGGGTGTCTCATTGTCCAGCAGCCATGGTCACCAACCAGTAGACGCTACAAGGTATAAGAAGAGGGAGCAGGTGCTCCTGGCCACCAGGAAGAGGGCGACAATCCAGATGGAGGGCCGGCCCAGAGCCTTCCCTGGGCTGAGACCTGTCGGCTCTGAGGTACCAGATGTCTCTGCTAGGTGACAAGGAAGTTCCCCTGGTGGTGCACAGTGGGGCAGTTGTTGGGCTGTTACTAAAAGGTCAGCAGTTCAAGCCTACCAGCTGCTATGCAGGAAAAAGGTGAGGCTCTCTGTTTCTGTAAAGGCCTCCATCCATGGGAACCTGATGGCGCTGTTTCCCTGCCCTGTCGGTGTTCTGTGAGCAGCCCGGGTGCTGTAGTGGTTACGAGTTGGGCTGTAAGCACGTGGTCGGCAGTTCGAAACCCCCAGCAGCTCCACGGAGAAAGACTGGGCTTTCTACTCACATAGCAGAGTCTGTCTCGGAAGCCCACAGGGGCTTGCTGTGAGCCAGCATTGACCACATGGCAGCGAGTTTGGGTTTCTTTATAGGGTGGATGTGTGTCGGAATCCACAGGATGACAGTGGGTTTGGGGAGGGGCCAGAGGGCATCCACTCCAGCCCAGGTGGGAGTTCATTTGGGACTGGCTCTAGAGCAGGGCCACAGGCCTGGTCCCAGAAAGACCGGGGCAGAGGAAATGACATCAGGGCAGCTGGGCAGCAGCCGCTTCTCCCCCATGGAGTAGGGCCGCCCCTCCAAATCCTTCACAGGACCCTTCCCCACACGCTCGCTGCCCGCGGCAAGGAATGACTCGGCTTAGTCCTGATTCAGCTGATGCTCCGGGAACCCATTCCAGCTGTAATTCTGAATGTGGGGGTTCCCAAACCCTGGGTTTCTCTAGCTCTCTTAGAGAATCTTATAAACATTTTAAGTTGCTGTAACTTAAAAAATAAGGCAACATGTTTCCCAGAGACAGACTCAGGATTACTTCTCCAAACCTACACTCCTAGCAGCAACCTCCTGGGCAGACTTTGCAGCTCCGAGAAGGACAGGGGGAGTTCACATCGCCTGGCCCGAGCATGGCAGCTCTCGCTTTGATGCACTTTATTTCAGGGTGCTTATCTAAGCAGAGGGTTGGGAGCTACACCTGCCCTCGGAGCTGTGGAACGTTTCTGCGTACCTCCTCCATTGCATTTCTCCTCTGCCATAAGATTTATAGTAGAGGCCTGCTCTCTTTCCTAGGATTTTCCATAGCTACGTAGCCTTTTGCTTTTTTCAACCACCGCCCTGTCTTTCATCCTTTCTTATTTGAGTTATTGCACTTGACTTCTCAATCACTGTAGAATCCAGAGAGACAAAGAGAACTTGTATAAAAGAACATTTCTTAATGTCTCGGAAATGCAAAAGCACTAAAAGAAGGGGAATGTCTGGGAAGGGTGTGACAAGAGCCCACTGAACCCTCCCTGTGGGGGATGCATGAACACCCAACACCCCCACCCCACACTGCCACCCCTGGGGTAATACTCCTGTGCCTGCTGCCCAGCGTAGGTCCTCGCTGGTCCCATGTAGAAATGACTGGTGCCTCCTGCCAAGATATTTGGGCATGACATGTCTGTGTCCATAGAGCTTGTGGGAATTCTCATCTCCTCCTTCCCGGGGCACAGATTTCCAGGTAGGTCAATGTTTACATCAGCCTCAGCTCTAGTGTGACTTTCTCTTAGGGCTTCTGGCTAACCACAGAACTCTCATCTCTCCTGCCCAGACCCCTCACTTCACACAGAGGAACCACAGCTGTGGACCAGGGATTGAGTGTCGAATGTCCAATACCGTGGCTAGGAGCCTTCCCTTCCAACAGTTTAAAAGGAGCCACTTACCAAGTAGTTATTATATGCAATGAGTAGCTAGCCGATTTCGGTTGCACTGTCAGGCGTAGACGTGTGTTGTGGATTTGATCCTGGTGTCAATTTGTGGCTGAGGAGACACTAGAACATGTTCTAGAGTAGGACCCATGTGCCCAAGGGTTTCTTGGTGCTCATCTTTATAGATACCTATCACCACCTTTCTCTTTCCCTGCAGAGCTGCTGGGTGGGTTAGAACCACCAATCTCTTGCTTAGCACAGGGAGATGGTCCTTCCCAAGGACTAGAATGGACGCTGTGGAAGCATATTCTCCCTGGAGCCTGTCCTTATTGCCTTCTAACCCTCCAGGTACACGCCTACATCATCAGTTACCTGAAAAAGGAGATGCCGAGTGTATTTGGAAAAGAAAACAAGAAGAGGGAGCTTATCAGCAGGTTACCTGAAATCTACATCCAGCTGCAGCGAGAGTACCAGATTTCTGCAGGGGACTTCCCTGAGGTCAAGACCATGCAGGTACTGGAGCCCGTTAGTATGCCTGGGACAGGGGAGGGGGTAGAAACGCAGTGCCACATGGTCCAGCTGGCCACTGGGGTGGCCTGGCAACGCCGTGGTTTAGGCTCAGGGAGAATGCCACTAATCCACATCCCTCATGGTGAGCCGGGATAGAAGCTCCCGAGACTAAAGCAGACATTGCCTTCCTCCCGGACTTTTTAACACAAGGGGCCATGTGACCCGAGGAGGAGGTGGAATGTGTGTCTGCTTGCCTCTGGGAGCAGCTGCCTCTTTTGCCATGAGACTGGAAGGACCGGATGGTGCCTGGCCACCATTCCCTAGCATTCTGATCAAAGAGTCTGTAGAAGAATCCTGATCAGAGCGGGGAATAAACTGTGGGACGGAATTTCTTTTCCTTTTGTTTGGAGGGGAGGACAGAATCCAGAGTTTATGGAGCCATTGAGGCTGAGTGAGTCCTTGAAATTATTGCCTAAAGGCTATCTTCGCATTTGAAACCAAAACCCAAACGAAACTGCCCTGCCCCCTCCCCTCCCACCACCACAACCAACAGTGAGCTCAGACAGCAAAGCTCCCGTAGGTGCAAGGGCTCGGTCCGAGGCTATGGGGCTCTGTGCACGTGGCTGGACTCCATCTGGTGCTCGCAGGACTTTGCTTTCAAGGTCAGCATTGGGCACCTTGAGCCTGGTTTCAGAGCCTGGCTAGCTGTGACTGAGTTCAGCTGCCTGGCCTGACCAGTGTATCCACCTCCTGACAGTGCCAGACTGAGCGTCTTTTTCTCCTAGGCAGGGACCTGTCTGAACTGAAGGCTACAGTCCTAAACTCAAGAGCCCGTAGCCACCAGCAGAGAGCCTGAGTGAGGGAAGCAGGCCCAGTGAACAAGAAACCCCTTGGCCCTCTCGGACTCCCTGTGGTTTCCCCACATGGATCGCTTCTGCACGCAGGGACACAGCCCTGCTCGTACAGGGAGAGCTGGTCCAGGGGGACACACCCGACCTCTGCTCAGCGAGGAGACCCTGCAGCCTGAGCATTGATGCCCTGCACCGTATGTGTCTGGGTTCCAGAGAAGCCAGCAGCGGGGTCTGTAAAAATTGCCTGGCTGTCTAATTTGGGGTCAAATAGTGAGACCATACCAGGTAGGTCAGGCTGAGTGTCCCTGCCTGTTGCCTACAGCCTGGAGACCGCCAGTCATGCTGCTCATGAGCTTCGGCGAGACAGCTCAGAAGTCAGCGTGTGCCTGGGGACTGGGCCTGCGTGCTTGTGCCAGTTCACTGGGGGGCATGAGGGGTGGGGTGGGAGGGACAACGAGGAGGGGGAGCTGCAAGGAGAAGGCCAGACTTGGAGGGAAGATTGATGGGCATAAGGGGGGCAGGCTTTGATCCTGCGCTGTTTATCCTCTAAAGTAAATTTGGTGTTGTGTAGACCTTTATTTACTGTGTAGTTTACACATGAACATAGGGGTGGCCAACTCTTAATGTTCGAGTGTCTGCATTTTGCAGCCGGGTGGAGCGCAAATGCATGTGGCATGTGTTGCCTGCTCAGAAATGACTTCGTGGCTGTCTTAGAAATAAACGCAGAAGCATCTTTTCTTCTTCCAGAAGAGCAGGTGTCCCCGCCCTCAGAGAATGAATTAGTATATTCCCGGGGTGGCAGGCTAATTTGAGGGCTCACCGAGGCCTCCTGGGGCCGTGTCCTGCATTGGTTTCCCCCTAGCATCCTCTTGGGTGAGACCCAGCAACCCAGAACCAAACTTTAGGGCAAGAGTTTTTCTGACATGCCTTCAGGGAATGCAAGGTCACGATGACACCCACTCCTGACTCACCAACATAGCTGGGCTCCGACAGACAATGGGGTTGTTATGCAAAGATCGCTGTGACGGGGAAGTGGAGGACGACCCTATCCGATCGCAAAGTGGGGAATGGCTACATCATTACCTAACTGCCACGTCGCTGAGCACCATGGCCCAGCCATGGTGACGCACACCCTTCACCTTCACCGCTAGTGTTGCTCTCTTCTCACTCCTCGGCATTGGTTACTGCCACATATACACAGTTAAGGGGCCAAACAGCTGGACAAGAGGGTCTGCGTGGTGGTCGTCAATGTGAAATGATGGATGCCCAGGTAGTCGACTAAGGATGGGGGAACTCTATTTGTGACGGGAACAAGGCCTGCCTGGGGCCCACCAGGGGTTGCCCCAGGGAGAACCAGCCATGGCCCTAGTCTGGCTCCCTGCCATCCGATCCTTAGGCTCGCCACCGTTGCTCAGGACACCAGGTGGGTCGTGGATGCATGGTAGTGGCTATTGTGCTACCCTCCTTTCCACGTCACGTGGGCTGTTTCTAGGACGTGAGTGTATCACACTTCGCAGCTCACAGAGAGTTCGAGGAGGCCAGCTTGAAGTCTCTCCCCCTGTTCACTCCTGGACCAAACCCATCAGCGGTGACTCTCGCGTCAGGTCGAGACAGGGAACTAGCAAGAGCCGAATGTGCATTTTTACCCAGTGCTTCCCACCACGTGGATGTCAACTCGTCAGCCTGCAGCCTTCAGTCGGGGATGCAGCTGAACGTCAGGAAGACCAAGCTCTTAAAAAGAGGAGCTGATACCAATGGCTCCAATAGAAAGTAAGTGTTCAGAAAATGAGGGTGGCAATCTGTGTACAAATCTGTTTGCTGCAGTGGATGGATGGATTGCCTTACGAGCTGTAAGAGCCCCCAATAAAATGATCTTGGAAAAAGAAGAAGAAGACCACCAAATTCCTCTCACCTAGACCGATAAGGAACAGCATGAGCAACAGAAAAGATTGAAGCTGCCGAGGACTTCTTCACCTGGCTGGGATCCATGGTACTCAGGGAAGCTGCAGTCCAGGTGTCGAAGTAAATCTACCGTACACGGCCGCTCTGAAATGGGTGCCCCTTTGAGGACCTAGGTGCGCCCGCCGCATGCACCTGGATTGGGGTGCAGGTGAGGAGTGTTGAAAGGATCACAAACTGCCTAAAGGAGACACCACTCTGCCCTGAAGGACAAACCGCCAGCAAGAAGGCTCCTCAGAGGCGAAGCTGGCCAGCCCTCGGCCCACAGACGGGCTGCGTCATCAGGAGACCCGTCCCTGGAAAGGGACATCCTGCTCGGTAAAGTCGAAGGTGATTGAAAGAGGAAGACCCTGGATGAGATGGAATGACCGGCAACGCGGCTGCAGCCATGGTGCAAACCTAGGGATGGTTTCGAGGGCTGGGGGAACAGGCCCTGTTTTGTTCTGTCCCACCCAGGGCAGCACTGAGGACACCCAGTCCCGAGAGAGGCCCTAGGATCAGGTCAGAGGACAAAGCTGCCTGGGCCTGACCCACCCGCTTTGAGGAGGGGTCCGATTGACCGCAGGAATGTGTTCTTATTGTGGAATGAGGAGAGCCGGGCCTTCCTGTTGACACCCATGCCGTGGCCCTCCTCCTCGGCGGAGAATTTGGAGCCTGGAGCTGATGAGTCAGCCGCACAGGGCAGCAGAGCCAGTGACCTGGCTGGGTGCTCGGGCTGACCTGAAAACTGCCTGCTCCTGGGAAGGCTGGGAGGGCGTGGTCCGGGAATAGACCCGAGGTACCTGGCCACTTTCCTGGGAGGGAATCATTCCAGGAGACCTGGCTTGTGTTTTGGTGGCTCTATGTGTTGGTGAGAAAGATCTTTAAATTCTCTCGTGTGTGCTCATCCCAATAAAAGATGGGTATTGTCGATTCAGTTCTGTCTCCCAAACGTGTTAGAATTCTAACCCGAGACCTGTGGAGAGGAGCCTTGGTGGAATAGTGGCAAACATGCTCAGCTGCCAACCCATAGGTCAGCGGTTCAAACTCAACAGCCACTCCACGGGAGGATGATGGGGCAGTCTGCTTCTGGACAGACTGTCAGCTTCAGAAACCCTGTGGGACAGTTGGACCTTGTCCTGCAGGGTCGAGATGAGTCGGTGGCCATGGGTTTATTCCTGAGGATGCAATCCCAGGGTTTTCTCCGTTGTGACGGAGGCCATGCCCGAGTAGGCTGTGGCTTCAACCTAGTGGTTATTGAGACGGGAGAAGAGCCGACTAGACACAGAGGCAAGCACAGACGGAGCCCGCCTGGCAATGAAGGAGCAGGGGTGAGGAGAGCCGGCCCCTGGGGCTCTCGCCCAGCTTGTGAGGAAGACATCTCCGGCTCACAGCCCCACTCCTGACCTTTCCCACGGGGCAGCAGGGGGAAGGCTGTCCATTTGCTTCCTGTGCTCCTGGTCAGCCCTGGGTACATGGGGACCCTGGGAAGAGAGTGGCTGATCTATTTCCTCCAGGCCTTTGGGGACGGGATGGCTGTGGAGGCCTCAGCCAGTAGGTGGCTAATTCCCTGGCTGGTTGTCCAGAGACTCGCCAAGGCGCCAATCCCCTGCCCGCTGCCGGGAAGCGTGGGCTGCCCGACCTCATCCGTCCACTTGGCCATACACTGGGGCTCTGTGTGTGCTCAGCGCCGCGGCAGGGTAGGTATAGGTGCACCCAGGCACCTCTCAGGCTTGTCTCCCAAGGCAACTCTGGGATTGTTGGGTAGGACCCCTGCCCCTCTGTGGGGTGTGGCTTTCCCTTGTCAGGCCTCCTGCATGACTCAGCTATTTGCATTGTGTGGTGCTGATGTTGGGGGTGGCATTGTTGGGGACGGTGATGGAGTGTGGCTGGAGACTCAGAAACCAGGTCTGCACCATGCAGATGGTGCTGAGCTTGCTACTTCAGAGCCTCTCGGAGGCCCCGCTGGAGAGATTCGTGGGGCTTCTTAGCTTTCATCGCTGCCCCCTGCTGCTCACGCTCACAGCGCCACTTCCAGATAGCAGCAGAGACCTCAGCCCGGCAGTGCACCTTGGAGACTGCAGTTTGAACTCTTCACCCTAAAATGCCAAGCTGTGGGGGCAGTGGGCATGAGCAGGGGCCCAGTTTGGCAGTGTCAGACCCTGTAGATATTAAGAAAAGGTTGTATAAGAATTATACAAAGATAAGCTTTTTTTTTTAACCCGGGTTGCTAAACAGTGTGGTCTTCTTTCTGTGTGTGTGTGTGTGTGTGTGTGTGTGTGTGTGTATGAGAGGGAGAGAGAGAGAGAATATGAAAAAATGTTAGCAAATTAAAAAATGTTAGCAGAGGTTACTGCTGGATGATGGGATTATAAATGTTTTTTTTTTTCCTTTTGCTTACCTGTTTTTTCTCAATTTTGTACAAATTAAAAGCATGGATATTTATAATAGCATAAAGTTTTTGTTTTTCCTAACTGCCTGCCATGGCCCTCTCATCTCCCTCTCAGGCAGCATCTCAGAAAGGTGGGCAGGGCAATGGCTCTTCTTGGGTCCACCCTATAGATTTGTTCACACAGAAGGATTTTATCGAGAGCCCATAGATTTGTGGCCCCACTTGGGTGGGAGTCTTGGCATTTATTTGGCAAAACTGCTGTTGGAGATGTTGTTCTCTAGGTCTTGAGGCCCCTGCTGTGCAAGGCAAGGAGGGGGAGGAGGTAGGCAGAAAGACTTCTTTCCATCTGAGAACAGGTGACTGTGAGGGCTGGGCAGCCCCTCGCGCCCTGCTGGGCAACTGAGAAGCTAGGAGCTCCTGTGCTCAGGCAGCAGCTCCTTAGCTTCATTTGTCTGCTGTCATGATTGGTTCGATTCCTTTCCCTGGTAGTGGCCTGGCTTTGAACTTTCTAATGATTCTTCTGTCTCATGTTGCATGGTATCCTTTTTTTTGCCAGAATTTTCTGAAATAGAAAGTAACTAAAAAGCAACTGTCCATCCGTTACAGCACAAGCTCCTCAAGGGAAGGCACTGGCTTTTCATGCATCTACTGAAATCCCCAGGCCCACAGAGGGCCTGGCTCTTAGTAAAGGACCGAGAAATGGTGAAGAGGAGGGAGTGGGACTGGGAGGGAGGGGTGGATGGCTAGATGGCTGGCTGGCTGGCTAGTTGGTTGGATGGATGGATGGATGGATGGATAAATGAAAAACAAATGAACAAGAGAGGTAGGATCGGTGCCGGGCATCTTGCAATCTGATCCCATCTCGCCAAGCCGCCAGCCTGTCTCCCTGGCACCTGCGCTCCTGTGCCATCTGCGGATGGGAAATGGAGCCGAGACCCTTCTTTGCCCTGCGGGCTGGAGTCCTATGCTCACGCTCCATCCCTACACCTCAAAAGCAATTGATCTGTCCGTGTGTGTGAAATGACACGGATTCAGTGGCCCTGCCTGAGACCTTTTTACATTAATGTAGCTCCCATGCGCCCGGCCAGTCTGTGCCCTTGCAAGGCTGTTCATGCAAGATTCCAGTGACCAGCCACGTGGGCTCAAACCTGAGACACCAAGGCCCCTGGTATTCCGTCCCTAGTTAAGGTACCTTAGCTATGTTTTGTTTTTGTTTTTAACTGAGCCCTCGAATAATTATTTTACCCAAAGATGGAACATCTGTTACAGCTTCATGTCCCACACTAGTGATGACTGATTATAAGTCAGGAGAGCTGATGTTCAGTCTGGGCTCTACTGGAACTCCTGGGGACCGGCTGTACAACAAGGATACTTGCCCTTCTTTACAGCCAGGACTGTTGGGAAAATCAACTGATGGGTGTAATAAAGGCATATCAATGCTAACAAAAACCAAATCCAATTCTCTGCCGTAGAATTGATCACAACTCAGTGATCCTATAGAACAGGGAAGAACTACCCTTGTGGGGTTTTGTAAATCTCTGCGAGAGCAGAAAGCCTCATCTTTCTCCTGGGGGATTTGAACTGCTGATCTTGCGATTAGCCAGCCTAAGGCATAACCTATTAATGCTGCCAAGACTTTAAAAAAAGGCATGATGAAGGAAGACTGTATCCAAGTCCCAGAGGGTCACCGTAGTCACTGATCAGCTGTCAGTAGGGATTAGCTACTATCGAAAAACAAATCATACGTCCCATGAAACTCATCTCTGGCTCCAAAAATCTCGCTAATCATTTCCTAGTGTTGCCTGCAAATAAATACAAGAACAGAAGCGTATTGTCACAGTCCTGAAGGCTAGGGGTTCAAAATCTGGGAACTGTGGATTCCTTCTGAGGGAGAGTCTGCCCCAAGCCTTTCTCCTACCATGTGGTGACACAGGCAGCTGTGGTGTGTGTCTGCTGCCATCTGCACCACCAAGTAGCTCCCGTGGTCTCTCCTGTAGGACATCACTCGGAGTGGCTCCCGTGGTCTCTCCTGTAGGACACCACTCAGATTGGAGTGGCTCCCGTGGTCTCTCCTGTAGGACACCAC